CAGCCCGGGCGGCGTGATTAACTGAAATCATACATTATTAGACAATAGCGGCAACGCTCTCCGAAACCGGTGCGGTACGTGTATAAAAGTGTGTAAACAAATGCAATGGCGACTACAAGTTGTTACGGCGCCGTGTGTAATCAGCCTAAGACGGAATTTTTATCAAAGCCTGTCATGTAGGCGTAAATTGTCTAAATAGATGATGAATAGAAATAAAACACAGGAAAATCATATGTAACAATTTTTATTTTACCAATATTAATAATATATTAACATATGTGGTCCAAAACCACCCTCTCTCTGACAATAATATAATACAAAGGATTTTCACAAGAGGTCTGAACCCATAACAATAAAACAATAGCGCTACAACTACAGCTAAGTGCGAGTCAAGTGTTTAAAACGAGTCTCGACTAAATGACTCCCGCGAACTGAACGAGGTAAAAAAAAGAGAAGAAAGGTACTAAAACATCGCGATATATTAAACATTATTTACCATTTATTTTAAATCTAAACGAGGGGGCGCAAAGTGCATTATTCCGGGGCCTATTCCTTAAGCCAACACGTAGCAACGGTACAGAGTAAAAAAAATGGCTAGTTTTTCTGTTCTGTACGGTTATACCGCTAACTTTCCATTCTTCATTAACAGATTAAAATTATTGTCGTAACTCGGTAAGATGCAGAAGTGTACACACTTATGGCTAGTCTACACCTATTAAATGACGAAATAATTACCTAAGTTTTAACTTAATTTATACGTGTAAACAATCACTTTACATCTGTTAAGTAATCATACATTAATTACCTAGGCACTTAGGTGGAAACTAGCCATTACTCAGCGTTCAAAAACGGCCTCCAATAATCGTAAAATACTAACAACCTGTTATGACTATATTGCTAACATCATAAGCAGCAACTTACGTTGAATGACTTAATATTTCATCATATTTTACTGTCATGCAAAAATAAAAAATATTTAAATAGGTCGTTCTAAACGGTAATAAATCGGTGCAAAACGCAGAAGCGAGCGTGAAGGATGCTTGCACATTTGAACTTATTATTTTACTACCATATACAGACCTAAAAATGTCAGATAGCACAGTAAAAACTTTGTGTTTCGGTAAATTTATAGTTTTTTAAAAAGGCATGAAACAAAAGTTGTTGTTTACTATGTTAGTAATATAGTCCTGCGAGTTTGGTGAAATTTTACGAATAACCTGTATATACACTTTTGTATATTTAACACTTTGCACATTCATATATTATATGAAAATAACTTATTTACTAACTAAACGGAAAAATATGTTGCTCTGTAAAATTGTTTAATGCAAATTACAACATTTAGCTAAGAAAGTGACAATAAGTGAAGTAGACAGGGATTTTTAAATAACCTTAACACGGTATTCTTATCATTGTAACAACTTTTGTTCAACAAATTGACATTATAACACGAGAATTTTAAAAAATTGCGTATAAAGTTATCCACGTGTCATGTAAAACTGCCTTAGAACTCAGGACATTTACATAAGTATCTTTTTGTATGATTTCCAAAAGCGTAAAAGTATTATTTTAATGGAAAGTTCGGGACACGCTAGGTCACAATCGCATTGATGTTAAGATACTATAACAACGCACACACTTATAGCCCCGCACTAGGGAAACCCTGTATCGCAGGTGCCATGGACACACACTTAGATAACCACAAATTACTCCTTAACTCATGAAAGAATTAAATGCAGGCCATACAAATATTTCTCCCGGCCTGGGAATCAAACCCGGGACTTCTGCGTGGCAGTCCAGCATGCATGTAGCCGTACGGCCACTGAGGCAGTGTGTGTGCGTTATTATTACTATGGACTAATAGTACTTATTCACTCTAGCCCCTAAATTGTTGTTCTCCGCAAACATAGATATCGTTTATGTATTCTATTTCTTTGCCGTATGCATTAGGAAAGAAGAAGCAAACACTTAATGAAGCAAACGACATTAGGTTGGACTGTTCCGAACAGTTCAGACGGCCGAATAAGGAACGGTAAGAGTGAAACCAAAATGTATTCATTTCCAATTATAATAATACCGTGTATTAGGGGTAACCCCCTTTAATATCAATTTGGAGAGAGATAATTTGACTATATCATATAATGCATCCTCAGTGAAGTAGTGATAGTATTTTACTTAGAATTATTCATGATACAATTTTCTAGCACCGCTTAGAGAAGTCTTTAAGGACAAACTAAAAAAAAAAAAATTTAGGCCGAATGTACAGTGAATGTATCGACTTGGCGCCCCGCCCCTTTATGTATTACTTGCACTTCACAATACCTCATCATTATATACAATGGGAAATAAATACGCTATATGCACGATAAGAATACATAATCGTGTATGTACATGACCATGCCCACCGGAGTATTAGTGACCATTAATATATCACAAAATTCCTATTGCCACCTAAAGATTTGGTATGCCTGTTAAATCGGCGTACACTTTTTGGCTTAGCTAGGCGCGATCCTCTTGTTGACACAAGTGTAACGCTCTGCGCATTAAATCCACTCGTTTCCGCTTCTATACCACCAATCATAAATCGAGAATACTCTTCATTCCATGTAATAATGTGAAATGGTATAACGGAAACAAGCTGCAAAACCTCGTACTAAATACAAAATAATATTTTTGGTTTCGACGTTGTACAAAACTTCAATGTCCAAAAATATGCGTAAATACATCCAGTATATATCTTACTTAAAACTCGCGGGACAAAATATCGCACAACACATCGGAATATAAATCTAGAAACGTACAAAAATTTTGGGTCCAAAAATTCATATGCAAAAATGTTCGCTGCAAGGTTTTTAAATGTGTCGAAAAGTTTGAATAAGTTGAGATACGAATTCACGATGTAGATTTCGATGGCGGCTCTTCCCTAGTTGACGCGAGCACGTGTGATGTGACGCTCTGTCAGCACTGTATGAAAGTACATATATTGAAACTTAATGTCATGGATGTGACATTGCCGTTGGGGCTATCTCAAAGTTCATATAATGATACACGACGTCATGGAAATTTGGTGTGACATTACCAAGGCTGTCTTAAAGTTCATATATTGGTATGTGACGGCTATTTCAAAGTTAAAAACAAAAGGTTAACGTTATGGAATCTTCTGCCGATAGTGACTGTACAGTCCCACATCTTTCTAGATAAGTTTTGTTTATAGTGCCCCTCCCTGTCAACCTCTTGGTTATGCGGGAAGGGCACTATGACCTGTGCAAGCGAACTTGCACAGGGACCATCTGAGTCAGGTCCTAATCCCGGATCAGCACGTTTGCACGCACTTCATCCAGTTCTCTGTAAGGCTAGTGCCTTAGGTAAGTCGCCCCGGGGGCACGTACAGTATCCTCCCTATTTTCCAGATAGGTACCGGAGCTGTAGGCACGCTCACTTCCTGTCGCGCTCCGCATGACTAACGGTTGCCACCACTGAGCCGCCGACTCTAAGCCGACTACCAAATTAGTGATAGTGACTGTACGACTGAAACAGGATAATATCGTTACAAAAAACCCGAATTTCGTAGAATATTTTCAGCAATACGTATTGATATAACATTGCATATGGGCCAGCGTGGATACAGCCTAAATACTACTCTGGAGGGGAGAACCGCACACAGCGGTGATGTGATATTGCACTGTTAGATTTATACGATGGTAATGTCAACTTGAAAAACACTATATGCTTATTCTAATTCCCTTGATAATATCAGAAACTAATAGAGGCTTAAGACGCCACACGTAACCGCATCAACGAACAACGAACCTGTGAGACGATCAAATGAAATATTAAAGCTTGCCGACACGAGAATTACCTAATTTTGTTATTGACAATTACCTACGTAATATTAATGTACTTAATACATCACCTGTTATAATGACTACTTCGCGACTTTATTAACTAATTGAATGGGAAAACGTCGCCTTGAACATCATTTACAAATACCACACATACACGTGTCGAAATTATACTAGCAACCGCTTAACCTGCTATGTCTATTATTAAAATAAATTTTTGTTCGGTTTCTTTTTTTCAAAATTCACACAAAAATAATTTTTAAGTCTATAAATTTTCGTGCAAAATTTTGAAGTCAATAAATTTTCGTGCGCATATTTGGAAAGAAATATTTGCAAATTGTATTAATATTGTCACATACTTATTTAACATTTACGAACAATGTTATTGTACACTCTCAACTACACGAAAAAATGTACAAACTGTCATTTTGTAATATTGAAAATTGAAGGGGTAAGTGGACAAAGGTGTTATCTGACAAAACTGAAAA